GATCTATAGTCATTTATTAGTTTGACATAAAATTTAGGAGGAAAACAAACAAACTTCTTTATTGTGCAGGAGAAGCAGTAGTAATTATAGGATAAAATGGAAATATATTCACACTTTGATTGGTATTCAATTTTTATAGATCTATAGTCATTTATTAGTTTGACATAAAATTTACTGACCCTGATAAGACTTTTTTTTTTTTTAAGTAATTATTTTAGCTGGTCAATTTAGCAATGCAGAGGCCTTGGGAAAACAGGAATAATTTGTGGAACAACACATTTATTTTTCTTCAAATTTTTAGAGAATGAAACAAAAAAGTTTCTTTGGAATTGTTTCAAAATATTGGGGTTTTTTCCACTTTGGCTTTTTCCACTTTTACCTTGAGGTCATCCCCTTCGCTCTTATATAATTAGTCACTTTGTCTTGCCAATTGTTCCTTCGAAATGGCTTTCAGGTTGGTCCACTTCTCACCTCCACCACAGCAGCCCATCCCGCTCTTTACAGTCTACATGACCATTCTTTTATTTAAGGAAAAAAAGTATTCTAAACAGGCTCCCACGGAACAGTTGTATCCCTGAGTGTGCTGAGACACTATAAAACCAAATGGTGGTCTTTTCTCAATCTGCAGGGGAGATATTATCTTAGTAGATAGAATGTTTTCAATTTAAACGTTTTCTTCCCTTGGTAAAAAATCACCATCATCATCATCACTACTATAGAAAAATGTTGTGATTCCTATTGCTGGTATTAGAAAAGACTACCAGAAAATAACATTTTAAAAAATGAAGTAGGTATCTGATTTAACAGAAAAGCTCAGAAACAGACTGTGGGGTGATATGCAATGCTGGCCTTGGGGAGAAAGCCCTTCTTTGGGGGACCCAGCTCCCAAATGGTCCTGGTGTTGTGGGGTCCATGGAAGTGCACAGTGACTCTTGGCTAGGCCAATTAGAATACTTCATTCCTACTGACCATTGTGACTGGTTCAGAAATGGGAATGTGACCGCAGACTTTGGGGATGCCTCTGGAAAGGGAGTTTGAGTCTTGCCTGCAGGGTGTTCGAGCTGCTGGAGGTACAGAGGAAACTTACTTCCAGGGGAGAGGGAGGCCACCAAGGGTGACGACATCTGAACACCTGGGCCCAGATGGATGTGTGTTTGGTACAACTCTGGACTCCTTTTACAGGAACCAAGCTGATCCCTTTCCATCATGGGCTGGAAGTGGTTCCTGTTTTCTTTGGGCATGACTGTTCCCTAGATTGTATGATAAAAATTAGTACATCAATACTTCTCCGTGCTCCTCAGAGAGCCCTGCGATTTTCAACAGCTCCACATGAAACCCTCTGCTCGAAATCACACTTGCCACGTCTACTCCACTAGGATTCCCTGATTCTGGGGCTCCCGCTCTGTCACTCTGTCAAGCAGCCTTAGGTTTCAGTAGTCCTCTGTCCTTACAGAGGATCCAGGTGGGAGATGGGCCCCTTCCCCTGTCCCCAGGTTTCCTGACCTCTAAGTCCCACTGGCCCTCAAAGCTCATACAGCCCGGAAGCCTCCCACTATTTACTCCCCTGCTATTTACTGTCTTCTCTACCTCCCTGGCAATTCTGTGGGGATTAATTCCTAAAGACTGGAGGTTTCATGGAAGGCAAGAACAGGAGCTCCGTCAAGTTCAAACTGGCAGCCTGCAAGATGGGGATGCAGGAGGCTCTGGGGAAAGGGATTGTGAGGCTGATCCTGTTGCCAACCACCAAGCCTATCAGGCCCCTCAGTGCAGTTTTGCATTTGGTTTGTCCCTGATTAATTGATCACATAGAACTTCCAAACCCAAGACCACAATCTCACCCATCTAAGGGAGGCTTCCTGAAGAAGCTACACCCCTCCCCTTGGGCCAGCTTCCAAAATCTGCCTAGTGGAGCACTGCCCCTTGTCCCAAGGCCCCTTACAATATGGGTACGACAGGAGACAGGGTCTCTGTAGACTGACTGCCTGTGATGGGCACTCCTCCGGGCTCCGCCCTTTTCCCCTTAGGCCAGTGGATACTCCTCCCAGTCCGGCTGGAAGGATAGGAGCCGGCTGGAGCCTAGTGCATGCAGGTCACAGTGGGGTCACACCACCTGCTGCGGGAGCCATGAGGCAAGCGGAACCCAGGCAGCAGGGGGACAGTTGGCTCCTTCAGAGCTCCACAGGCTTCGGGCTTCGGCAAACCTCCCCCTTAGAGCTTGTGGTTCCAAGGCCTGCCTCCAGATGCTCACTGCCGTGAGAGCGCTCTCAGACTTAATGTGGGCGAGGGCAGTGGCTCTGCCACCTACACCAGTTACTGGACTCTTATGTGCCTCAGTTGCCCCCCATTTACAAAGTGCGACTGAGGGGCTGGCCACCTCACATAGCTCTTACCAGAGTGAAACGAATTGATCGATCAGCCTGTAAAGGCCTGACACCTACTGCAGCCCGGCCGGGGGGGGGGGGGGGGGGGG